TGTACTGAAAGCAGTTAAAACTTTGTCTTGAAATCGGGCCTTACTTTTATTTGAACTCCTGACTTGGTCTTGGCCCCCTTTAAACTGAATCTCAACCAGCCAGAGTCTTGGACATGACTTGGACTCGACAAAGATGGTCTTGATTTCAACCCTAGTCAGTATTTCCTTAAGGCAATGACGCTTTGCTTCTGTGTTCTTATTGCAGGACAAGCACAGGGATTCTGTTGCTCAGTGCTTTTCACTGGGTTTGCCGTATGTTACAGCGGCCCCTCCTGGTAAAAAGTGGTACCAGCAGGGGCCGTCAGTTCGAGGATGCCACGGCTCCAGTCCCAGTGGGAGAGTCCAGAAGCCGGTGTCCTCTCAGTGAGTGCCAGCCACCGTGCCAGCCAGATTCTATATTCAGCATTACAAGCCATTGAAGTACTGGCATATAGAGTATCTCACACCAGGCCTGCTTAAAAAGAGACGGTGGGTGCGGGGTTCTGATATTTGGACTGGATACTCAATCCCTCCGCCCCAAGCTGCCAAACGCCCCCCTCCACACACAGTACCCTCTCGTCCATTTCACATCAGAGAAGAGGAAGTGTGTGTGTGTGTGTCTGTGTGAATAACCCCTTGCCTGACAGGAGAGAGCTGCTGGGGCTATTTTTATTATTTCATCTCCTCCACCTATTCAAATGTACCGGCTCCCATTTCACCATTTACACAGCAGGTATAAAGAGCAGTGCCGGGCTCTCAGTAGGGCATGTCAGGATTGGCAAAACCGCCATCCATTCGAAACGGCTGGTGTCACACACAAGGTTTTCCAGCGTTAGCATTAATGCACTTTATTTATTTCAAAAATGATGTTAAGCCCTTTATAATAACTAAGCTTATTATACAGTAACTACAATGAATTAATCATTTACAATTACTATAACAAACTATGCAGTAGACAAGTATGGAACTGACATGCAAATTATGTGTTTATAAGAGTGCAAAGTGTTCTTTTGGTCCCCTAAAGAACCATGTTTGAAGAAAAACAATGTGAGTATGAAGAACCTTTTAAATGTTTCAAAAATTGTAATATAATGTAAATTATGTATACCAATTTATGGGGTTCATCCTAGAACCTTTAAATTATGCGGCCTTTCTTATAAATTTAAATAGGTTCTTCACATCCAGACATTTCGATTTATATATATATATTTTTTTTTTGAGAATGGAGGAGATTAAAGTCCACTAATAGGTCCTTCAGAGTTTAAACAGTCAAATGTGTTAGGACTGCTTGTAATTTTGAAAATTCCATAATCATGTCTCACATTTTACATGGCTAGGGTAAAATCAATTCAACATTTTTAGCATATTTTAATCATGTGTAATATTGGAAGCAGACTAATTGCAGTTGTTATAACTTAATTCCACTCATTAAAGTGTATAATTAAATAATTAAGATGGAAACAAAGTCATTTAGAGTGGTTCGATGTGAAATGCGTCATTCTACAGAAACGTAACGTGTCACAACAGTGGCGACAGTAACCAGACATGTGAATCATTTAATGATTAATGTTATTACATGAAATGGTCATTTCAAATATGCTGCCTGATGTATCAAATATTGTTTTACAATAGCTTTGAGAGGAGTTCTTGCCTTTTTTAGAAATACCTTCATAGTGGAAAGGTACAGGCAGGGCATTCAGGCAAACCCCCAAAGAAAACATATTTACATATCGATGCAGTCCAAAAGTATCTCCGAAATGTAAACTTTACAGGAAAAGGCAAAAATGTACTTCAATTTTAATGCAAGTTAATGTAAAGAGATTTTATTCCAAGCGATTTTGGAGCATTTCTATTAGTCCATTCACCAGGAAATTTTAGCACAAAGTATCAAATGATCTGGAAAAATAAAACTCAAGAAAATGGAGTTTTGGACAGAGAAAATATATTACCACTGTTTAAACATTATTAACATTACAAAAAAAACTCATGTACGTTCACAGGTAGATGCTGTAGATGTCATGACCCCTGGTTCCTATCACCACCACTGTAAAGAGTCAGAAATGTTCTCTACAATGAACCATTTCTCATCAGAACACTACGAACAATCCGACGATCTGGAAAGTGGGCCAAACTAACTGTGCTTAAAAGAACATGTATAGAGGAATTTTTGGCTGGCAAGTACACCACATTGCAAACGACAGTGCAATCTGTACTAACACCGTGGCCTTGATTCACTCTTCGGGAACATGCACGCGTGAAGCCTCCCAGTTAAGTCCACGCTAAAACCTGCGGATGAAGCACAGCTGGTGAAGAATTTAGAAACGTGTTTAATGAATCCCTCATAAACTAATTACATAGTTTTCCGATGCTGCATCGCAAAAGTGATGCAACTTCCTCTGCCTGCCTGGGAACTGTGCTTGTTGCATGACCAGGCCTATGAATATGCTTACAAATGCATGTTTGTGGGTGATTTATTCACTTGCAATCAGTCTTTCAGACAAAACATGGGCTTCGGCTGCCTAACCACTTCCTGTGGGTCCCACACACCTATTCCAGGTATGGTGCCACGAAAACAAGCATTCTCTCTGAATGCTAAAGCCTCGGGACATGCGCTAGCAGGCCTTATTTCAAAATACAAATGTAAATCATTACAGGCTGATTTGCGGCAATGAGTCAAATGGCAGTTCAGGTGAGAAAAACATGTTGAGAAGCGCAGCGTACGACAATCAGAAGTGGATACAAGAGCCTACAGCTATCTTCAGGTGAAGGTATTGTTCTTCAACGAAGTGATGACTTACGCACAAGTAAAAGTGCTACCTAAAATAACTGACAACTCAAGGAGGAGTAAGGAGTCTGCCTTAGCACAGCCAGCATTTGTCAGCATTGGAACTTTTCTATTTATCTTTCTATTCTTCTCATTTTGGGACCTATTTGGTCTAAAATAGAAAGATAAAGCTCAGAAGTGAGAGCTGCAAAAGCAAAGCTGAGTAGGTTCTGAACCAAGTAAACTACAATAATCCCAAAAGAAACTAAAGGTAAATGACTAAAATGGACCTGAGGAATATTCCTAACATAATTTTGAGTAGAAATATCTTTAACTAAAAGCACAAATCCACCAAAAATTGTCCTTGAATTGTCCCCGTGAATGAAACAGTATGTGACGTCACACTGACATGTTCAAGGTTTACGAACTGAACGCATAAGCCTGAATAAGCGGCTTGTGTACCCCCCAATTCTGGATTCACATCAAAATCCATAGAGAATTAATATCTGCTTTCATTGTCCGACGTAAACAAACTAAGCAACTTAAAAATTGTAATATCAAGCTTGCTCATCAGATTAGTAAATTATATATATATATATATATATATATATATATATATATATATATATATATGGCTGGTGCATGGATTGTAGGTTACTGTAGAAAATGTTAGCATTTTAATACTAGCTTTAAACAACAAACTGGATAACAAGAACATATTTGAAAGCAAATGATCAAGATATGGTAAAAAAATATATATATTATTTTATCAGTTAAACGTGATCTTGGGGTGAGAATGAATTCAGGGAAACTGCACAATTTTCATGCAATACATGCAACACCAAAAACAAACTACATTTAATGTACTTTTGAGTATATGCTCAAAAAACAAAGACTGGACGAAATGATATGTAATTGTCATTGTGGTTGCTTGGTGGGATTTTACTGGCTGTCCTCACCATTATCCTCACTCAAGTATTGCAGGTGATAGCTTATCTGTTCAAGCACCAGTGAAGCTCATTCAGGCAACACCTTCCAAGTGGAGCACCAGAATTAAAATAGTCTACAACTTTTTTTTTTTTCTCATGCATTTCTTTTTCATGCAATTATCAGTGCCAATTTTCCTGAAATAGCTATTTTATAACTCATCTCCAATGCCAGGCCTAAGCTATTTCTATTATGCTTAAACGTGGTAAAAGAATATTGCTCACAATAATGAAATATGTAATGATTTTAGGACGGTGCTTCAACATCCAAGCCAATAAAACCACCAGAGTATCACAGAGTTATGTATTTAAACCATTTGTATTTGTGATTTGTATTCTGATTATTTTAAATACTCGTCATTTAGTATCTTTGTATATTTGTGAGGGGATTTATCTACCCGTCCTCAGGTCCATATTTAGTCCCCAACTCGTTTTTAGGGTTTCATTTCGTTCCATTTTGTTCGTTCAGCCCTCCGAAATATACCAGTTTAGACCAAAAAGAGCCAAAATTTAGTTTTAAAATCCGGCTGAGTCGCTCTTCAGTAAAAAAAATTGTTCTATTTAGAACCACGAGAACCACTTAATGCTTAGATGGCTCTGCATGGTGAAACTGTTCTTCAGATTGATAGTGAAATGTGTTGTGTAGGGTTCTATACAGATTCTTGTTGAAAATGGTTCCATAAAGCACCAAATAAGTTCCCATCTACTGTTACAAGCTTCATATCATAACCAAAGTAGAACCCTTTTTAGTGCTATAAAGAACCATTTTCAAAAAAAAGGTTCTACACAAAAATGATATATCTCGTCTATTTAGAACTCATGGTTCAAAACAGAGCCGTTTCTTTTACTAAAGAGCCCTTGAAGAACCATCTTCCAACTTGAGGCGTTATGAAATTTTTTATACCTGAGAAAGCTGCTTCTATGCTAGGCTAGTTTTACTGTTTTACTGTGTTTTGTTTTGTTTTTTTTTTGTATCAAAATAAATTTCCAGAAGTTTCCTCTTCACAGAAGGTTGCAACTAAATTTCTGCAGTGGTATAAAACCAGACTCGATTTAAGCTGTTATTAAATATTCCTGCGTATCCAATGTGCCTAATTTCTTATAATACTGGCTGAAATGTTGCGAGCTAAACCGGAACAAACTGTTCAGTGAGTGTTCAGATACAGTTTTATTAGAGACGCCGACGTTTCAGCTCTGCGGTAAACATGAAGGCTGGTCTGATAAATGGAGGTTTGGCTGTGAAAAGTGGAGAAAGAAGACGTGCCGCTTACCGGAGTATGAGTGAAGGGCTTTGGGTCTCACCACCAGGGCAGGACACACCGAGTACAGGGAGAGCCTCTCGAAGTAATCGCACGTCTCCTTGGACAGGATTTCGTCGATCATGAAGGTCTTGTAGCGCCGTCTCCCCGCGGCCAGCTGCCCGGGGTTGGAGCCTCGTAGCTCGGCTTGGCACTGCATGGCGCCTCGCTGGGCCGGTGGTCCTCTGTTCGGAGTTCCTTTCTGCTCCTCCTCGCTTCTCTCGACTACTAACGCGCCTCTCCTGCGGCTTGTGTGGCCACGGGCTTGCTGAGTAGGAGGTGGAGCTGCTGCTACAGAGGCATGGTGATTGGCGTTGGTCTCCAGCTTTGTAGCGCAGCGGGTCGAGGGGTGCGCAAGTTTCAGAGCTTTTAAGTGTCCCTGCTGGAGCTTCTTCGCTTCTTTTCACTGTCTGACCGTCCGCAGCGCTTTGACCTTCACTGCTGGAGCTCCCTCAGACCTCCTCACTGGACTAGAGCTCTTCTCTCTGGCCCTAAATGAAGCTCCAACTCTCTCTAACTCGCTCGTTCAGTCTCTCTTATCTGCTCGAGCGCGCGCTGCGTGCCTCTATATAAACCGCCCGCACCTCCCCATTCACCACACACTGCATGCCAATCAACACATACATACTGTATCTCTCTCTCTCTCTCTCTCTCTCTCTCTCTCTCTCTCTCTCTCTCACACCCCTACGAGCCGTATGATAACTCACTTACATACTGCGTTAAAGAATGGCCAGATGCTGTTACGCAGGCCCGTCTAACGTAAGAATCACAACCAAAGTTAATACATTAATAAAACGCTCCTCAGTTCTTCTTTCGTATTAGTAGATCTAGATCGTAGTTAGAGGCAGTAATAGTGATAATAACAGTAGTAAACGTCAACAGTCGTAGTCATCGCAGTAATGATAGTAATAGTAATGGAGAACATGCCATTTAAATCAACAGCGCACGAGGTTAAAATATCACGTTTATTTTCCACAGTTTGTTGACAAATAATATTCAGAGTTATCCAACAGTGTGAATATAAAAGCAAATAACTCTTATACGTTGATAAGAATATTATAGTAATATAATAATTATATTACTTGTAAATCATAATACATTAATTATTTAATTATAATTAATAATAACAATAACAACAACAACAACAACAATAATAATAATAATAATAGCATACAAATAAATACGTGAAACGGAACGAACTGTTTTGTAGTTTAGTCTTTGCTGCGATAATTTATTTTGACAAGCTGTCATCATTTATTTATTGCAGCAAATTTTGATGACTGTGATTATTATGATGATGATATTAATATTAATCTTTGTTGCTATGGCTACTTTTATTTAGCATACTTTTATACACATTATCTAGCATTATGTAGCAACAATGAGAGAAGTGTATAATTAGAAGAAGCTGTAGAAAAATAAGGATAATTGTCTAGTGTTATTATTGGTTTGGTTAGCATGTCCAGCATTAAGTTAAACGCGTTTCTGCTGCTCGTGCCCAAAATAAATGAATAAATAAAAATAAAAGCCACCAAACAGCGCATTTATTCGGGATATTTCAGCTAATGAGAGCTTAGCTGCAGTCAAGAGCTGCTCAATGCAGTGATATCTGTCCGATAACGATACAAGACCATTTACTCTCCGTTTAAAGACAGGCTCCTGATCTCGTAAAGCAACTTTAACTGAATAGGCTTTTAAGCTTATTCTATGGCAAACATAACATAAACCTCTTAATCTCCCCTTTTTAAGTAGGATGTGTTTCACAAAAAAGGGAACAGAAACGAAAGGAAAAAAGGAGAAATAGAAAAGAAAGAAGTCACATCGGTTTTGAATATTTACAGGTTTTTGTAGAGTTACTGAAAAACTAAAATCCCATGTTCGTTTTAATCTTAGTTAAATTGGATTTTGCTTCTGTAAAACATGATATGAAATTATATTCCATTTGTATTCATTTATTATTATTATTATTATTATTATTATTATTATTATTATCATTATTATTATTATTATTATTATTATTATTATTATTATTATTGATTTTCTTGAGGCTGGTGGTGCCGTTTCTAGACACCAAATGCAATTTCTAAATTAAATTTTTGTCATGCTCAGAAGTTGCGTGTATGTTTCCATGAGATTTTCGCTTCACAGAGACCCAAATAAAATATTCGCCCAGAGGGACCAAAAGAAAACTATTTTGATTTAATGTAACGTGACATTTAAGGAGACCCGAACGTGTGTGGGAGTTTAGTCCGCTGCTATCGTCCACGCCTAGAATTAAACCTACATCTGAAAATATACGAAGACAATGTTGGGAAAACCCGACAGTCCATCTGGTTTTGCCATCTCTAAATGAACTTGGGTTTGGAAACTGATCGCTCTCATGTTCTGCCTCTGATCAACACCAGACTCCGTTTCGATAGAAGCGGCCTTAGACGATGCACCAGGTGTTTTATGTGTTTTTCCGATTAGTTTGGAAAGCCTGGACAAAAAGTGAGACTATTTCCACCCCTCGCTTAAAGCGTGTGGAGTCCGGTTTCCCACCTGTATTCCGACAAGCCCCGCCCTCCTGCGCTGGGATTGGCTAGTTGCGTGCAGCCTCCCGCGCCTGGATTGGCTTCTCATGAGCAGTACTCGAATCCCAGCGCCAGAGGCGCAGCCAATCGTAGGGCAGGAGGCGGGGCTTGACGGAAAACGGGTGGGAAAAGAAAACACAAGACTGTCCTGTTAATCTAAACTTTGGGATTCAGCCACTGACTGTGATGCTTTTCTCAGATGGGCCCACACTTTGATGTCGCAGCTACAGAGGACGCCCTGTGATTGTGGGGGGGTTCAGGGGTCAGGTTCTCACTGCCCGCTGAAATGATTATCATTTTCCCATGCAGAGTAAATAGAAGTGCCAGGAGAGCTGAGATTATGAGGGCCGTGTTCAAAGTGCAAAGGATTAGGATGCAGGAAATGTGAAGATCTGTACTGGAGAAGCTCAGGCTGCTTTCAGGGGATTGAGTGCTTGATCAAAGCCGGGAGATGGGAACAACTGTGGTGGGCTGCTGCTGGATTAGGAGCAGGGAGACATATGAGCGAGTGTTAGAGGCGTATGGGTGGGTAGGGAGGGGTCAAGAGAGGCGATGTGGCACCAGTGAACCCTAAAAGCTAAGGGTGTGGGGACAAGCTGGATGATGGGAGCTGTGTATAACCACAGCTATCTATTGTGCATGCATATACAGTATAATTAAATTACACAGAAGTACCAGCTATTAAATACAACCCCATTTCCAAAACATTAAAACTCTATTTAGTTTGATAGTACAAAGACAACACATCAAATGTTGAAACTGGGAAATTTTATTGTTCTTTGAAAAATATATGCCCATATTTATACCCACATTGGGAGTTGGGACGGGGCAACAAAAGGCTGGCAAAGTTGTGAAATGCTATAAAAAACATTTGGTGGTTGATTGACAACAGGTCAGTAACATGATTGGGTATAAAAAAAAAGAGGCTGAGTCTTTCAAAAGTAATGATGAGGAGGGGTTCACCACACTGTGAAAGACTGCACGATCAAATAGCGCAACAATTCAAGAATAATGTTTCTCAAAATAAAATAGCAAAGAACTTTTGCTTTTCATCATCCGCAGTACATAATAACATTAACAGATTTAAAGAATCTGGAAGAAATCTCTGTATACAAAGGACAAGACCAAAAACCAGTATTTGCTGGCCACGACCTTTGGGCCCTCAGACAGCACTACATGAAAAACAGACACGATTCTCTAGTGGAAATCATTGCTTGGGCTCAGAAACACTTCTGAAAACCACTGTCTGTGAAAACAGTTTGTTGCTGCATCGACAAATACAAGTTAAAACTCTAAAATGTGAAGAAGAAACTGTACATAAACAGGATCCAGAAACACCACCGCCTTCTCTGGGCCCCAGCTCATTTAAAAAGTGTTCTGTGGTCTGACGAATCAATATTTGAAATTCTTTTTGGAAATCATGACACTGTGTCCTCCGAGCTTAAAACCACTCAGCTAGTGATCAGTGTACAGTTCAAAAGCCAGTATTCATGATGGTATGGGGTGCATTAGTGCACATGGCATGGGTGACATGCACATCTGTGAAGGCACCATTAATGCTGAGTTTTATATATATATATATATATCCAGACGACGTCTTTTCAGGGAAGGCCTTGATTATTTCAGCAAGACAATGCCCAACCACATTCTGCATGTGTTACAACAGCATTGCTCTGTATTAAGAGTCAAGAAGCTAAACTGCCCTGCCTGCAGACGAGACCTGTCACCCACTGATAACATTTGGTGCATTATGAAATGAAAAATAAGACAAATTCAAAATGGGCACCTATTTTTTCAAAAAACAATAACATTTTTCAGTTTCAATATATATGTTGTTTTTGTACTATTTTTTAAATTAAATATAGAGTTTACATGATTTGCAGATCATCGCATTTTGTTTTTTATTTATATTCTGCACGGCATCCAAACCATTTTGGAAATGGAGTTGTATCATTTTTTCCTGTATTTTGTTCATACTTTGCCTTTATTATAGATATTATAAATATTATATTATATATTATATTATATTATAATTATTATAAAACTTGCTTTCAGCTTTTTAAAGAAATCTGCAGGGACACCTTCAAAGTTCTGTCTTCGAAGTTGGTTGCATTTTATGCTTCTCATGATTCAAGCAATCCCAATGACAAATTTAGACTTATCAGTCCACAAGACCTGTTCTAGATCAAATTTTCTAGATAAAGTTTTCTTTTTTTTTGTCTTTCCTGATCTCAGGACCAGCTTCTTGACAGCTACATATCCTTTCAGACCCTTAACATTGTCTTCTCACAGTGGAAGGATGGATAGAATCACCTGTGGATTTTCTCAGATCTGAAGAAAGAGTGGAGCTTGGTTTTCTCCTTTTTTTTAAAGATCAAAGCTTTGCGTTGTTTATCTGATGGAGACACTTTTTGGTGGTCTTCCAGGTGTTTTTCTTTGACTTTCCCCTTTCTTATGCAAATGGTTGTCCTAGCCAGTCCCCTCAGAAATGGCCAAAATACCATCTTTGTGCATCAGTCATATACATGAAGACACTGACTTGATCATGTGGCAGCAAGAACCCTGCAAGCTGAGGCTGGAGACGATCTGGTTAATAGAAGCTGGGGGTACACCAAGATGCATGTGGGTAGATCTGGGTTGGAACTAAACTCTACAGTAAGGTAGAACTCTAAGAGGAGGCTTTTGATCACCACTTTAAAGTCTGCACATTAACACACACTTGTTGGCGGTGGGAGTTGCTATAGGGGTACGCTGTCCACCCTCCCCACACCCGTCGACGCCAAGCAGCTCAATCAATTAAAACAGTAGACTGTGTCCAGAGTTAGCGCTCTCCAACAAAGCTCTTCCTAGTACAGCCCGGGACCAGGGGATCGGCTGTTCTTTACCGAGCAGCGCTTCCAGGCATCAGGGCGCAATCTGATCCTTGTCAGATTAGTGGCAAGACAAAGAGCTCAGTACGCAGGGTGCAAATGCACCTCCACTTTTAGAGCGTGAAAGCTTTGCTGGGATGAACGAATTGGTGCGCAACGGGAGCCACTGTTCGTGGCCTAAGCACTTTCGGAAGGGTAGATTATGACCCTTAGCTTGGACATTATAGGATTCCGGCTGTCATGTTTCGTAAGCAGGGCCACAGCAGGCAACAGGCGTATCAATCAGTGCAGCTAAGTGTAACATGAGAACTGGGGGTGTTCTTGATTCAGAATTTGGCCCTACGGAGCCAGGTGCCTTTGAAGTCTTAGGGAAAATTAGCTTACTGGGTGCTAAGGTCCATGCACCAGTTTTAAATCGTCAGAATAAAAACAACCTGCCCTTCTGATTTCCACAAAGCGTAAAAAATAGGTCCAGGCAAAGCTGTATGCATTACCGTGCTTTACTGGGCTATACTGCAGAGCCTACACAGCTGTCCCACCCGTAATTACAGGTATTAAACTTCATTTCCACTGCCGTTCCATTGTGCTCACTTCTTTAGAAACACTTACATGATATCATGCGATTAACTTGTCAGCGCTCAAATCCTATTTCTTCTTTACGTGGTCAGATTTGTGGGTTTAGCTAAGAGTATGTGAACATTTGCTGAAATATCTGGTATGTGCAGGATGTCAAAATCACAATTGAGAGCATTTTTGACTAATCCTCTTGGACATGCATACAAAAATGGATTATTTGTAAAATATCACATTCAGCTGTCTAAACTGTCAACCTATAGACGGATGACAAAGGGAAAAACCAACATTAAGTGTCTTAGTAAGGTCAAACCGCCAGAACAGCTTCAGTGTACTTTGGCATAGATTGTATGTCTCTAGAACTGTACTTCAGGGATGGAACACCATTCCCTCAGTTGGTGTTTTCGATGCTGGTCCAAATCTCCATGGATGTTCAACTGCTTTGAGATCTGGTGACTCCAAAGGCCACAGCATATACACTGTTTAGGCATAACATTATGACCACCTCCTTGTTTCTACGCTCATTGTCCATTTTATCAGCTCCACTTACTATATAGGTGCACTGTGTAGTTCTACAGTTACAGACTGTAGTCCATCTGTTTCTCTGCATACTTTGTTAGCCCCCTTTTACCCTGTTCTTCAGTGGTCAGGACCCCCATGGACCCTCACAGAGCAGGTACCATTTGGGTGCTGGATCATTCTCAGCACTGCAGTAACACTGACAGGGTGGTGGTGTGTTGGTGTGTGTTGCGCTGGTCTGAGTGGATCAGACACAGCAGTGCTGCTGGAGTTTTTAAACACCTCAGTGTCACTGCTGGACTGAGAATAGTCCACCAACCACAAATATCCAGCCAACAGCGTCCTGTGGGCAGCGTCCTGTGACCACTGATGAAGGACTAGAGGATGACCAACACAAACAGTGCAGCAGCAGATGAGCTATCATCTCTGACTTTACATCTACAAGGTGGACTGATAAGGTAGGAGTGTCTAATAGAGTGGACAGAGAGTGGACACAGTGTTTAAAAACACCAGCAGCACTGCTGTGTCTGATCCACTCGTACCAGCACAACACACACTAACACACATTTCTGCAGTGCTGAGAATGATCCACCACCCAAATAGTACCTGCTCTGTGAGGGTCCATGGGGGTCCTGACCACTGAAGAGCAGGGTAAAAGCAGGCTAACAAAGTATTGCAGAGAAACAGATGGACTACAGTCTGTAACTGTAGAACTACAAAGTGCACCTATATAGTAAGTGGAGCTGATAAAATGGACAATGAGCGTAGAAACAAAGAAGGTGGTCATAATGTTATGCCTGATCGGTGTATATTTACAATATATTCATACTCATCAATTTAGTGCCCCTCTTGACTTGAATGAATGCGCTGCCATCATGAAGGAGTCCATCCATAAAGGTGATCAGTCAAAATAACTTTGTACTGACTTGCAGTGACCCTTTCCTCTACAATTTCCAAACCCATTTACTGATGTCTTTCCCACAGACATGCAAATGCAGACATCACTTTAGTCGCTGTTTCTGCTGAAACACTAGCCAGTTGTGATTGAAGGTTCTGCCATCTGTGCTCCAATAATGAACCCATAGATCTTTTCCTCTTGGCATCTTGATTCAAAAACAATGTAAAAAAATTTAAACATGCTGCAGGGCATGGTTGGGTGTTTATTGCTGAATTTATCATGAGGTGCATGTTTATGAAAGCATCTGTACTTACGCTTCTCTACTCATTTATTCAGGTTTTCCATTGTCTGTACAGCCTACAGGCTCTTTTGCTTATCCCAACATGAGTTTGAATTGCCCTGCAATATGTTTACAGCAGAACATTAAATCTGTGGGCCAAAAATGATAATTAAAACACAAAATCATGAGTGAGAGAACACCAGGTTTACAATCTTTTATATAAAAAAAAGCTGTATTTACAGTTGAGAGCTGTTTTTGCAGCATTTCTCTGAACAGAGAAAGCACAATGTTTAAAGACCTCTAACAGAAACTTCGTTACTGAAAAGTACAAAGCATGAAAGAAAATCTCTTTCCATTCTAACAAAATTCCTGAGAAATCACAGAAAGAAATGGATCTTTTTCTTTGACATCCAATTTAACAAAATGTTTCATTTCCCAGGATTATTTCATACAGCCACTGTAAAAAAACCACCCCTGCTGGTATATAAAGTATATAAAGGCCCCAAATTACTAAAATATTCACCACTCAAAAAGATCATTAAAGACAGTGACCAGTTTAGAAATTTGTCATTCAGTGCCATGATAACTTCGTGTGGTACTGAATTAGCGTGTGGTAAATCCTTAGATACATCTGGCCCCTCAAAACATAATTATGATGTCTGGATCGTCAACAAGAAGACCACACAAGCCACATATCATATAAATATTATCTGTTGAAAAAAACAAAAAAATACCTATAGACATCGGACATATTGGGCGTTGACCCCTGAGATTCAAATAAGTCTTCAAAATGTAGCTCATAAAAAACAAATGTTGGTAAAATGCCCTACTGTGTGTTATTGTTTATGATTATTTTTTACCTCATATTTTAAATGCATCTTTTTGTTCCTTATGGTTAAAATTCTTAGATGTTCTGAAATTTGACACAATTGCTTTACACAACCTTCGAAGGAGCAAGTGACACTCCAAAAATCACCAGTTTAAAAAGTTCTCTTTTAGAAAACAACATAAAATAGTTTCTTTAACAGTTTGTTTTTTTATAAAAAGAAAAGTCTTCAGTATCGTTTCCAGCGTCCGTCCCTGGACCCGTCTCTAGAGTCTCTGCGTCTTTCGGGGGGGTAATCTCTGCTTCGGCCTCCGCTGCGATCGTCATGCTGGTAGGACTCTCCTCGCTGGCTGTCGCGCCGATGGCGGTCGTAGCCGCTGTTACGGTGATCCCGGCCGTGATGCCCACCGCCGTCTTGCTCCTGGGAGTGGCGGTGGCTCCGGTGAGCTGGGCTCTCCTGCTGCCAGGGGCTACTGCTCCCACCCCCATATTGCTGCATGCCAAGCTGGAAAGCTCCATTCAGCTGCTGCAACTGCTGCATTTGGATCTGCCACATGTTGTTCATCTATGGAAAAGAAATAGAGATTTGAATATTGTGCAGACATTTGCCTGGCTTAGGTCATGGTTACTTCATAATATCCAAGACCTTTTTTTTGTGGATGGCTTCTGGATCGAATTTAATCCTCGAAATACCCAATGACTGAACGTCTGGCATCGTATTAGAAGAATCTGGGATCAGATTCTTACCGTTTCAAATCAGCAGCGAACTGTTTTTGCCAACTATTAACTCTGGCGGGCTATTCAAGCAGTCACATGCGCTTAACAACCTAGCTGTGAACAAGCATTTAACGGCAAAGATGGGAGCGCTCACCAGGGCTTGCCTCTGCAGACTGTCGGGTGATGAGAAAGACCTCTGGAACTGCTGAGGAGGGGAGTATGATGGAGAGCCCATCTGTTCTGGGGTCTTATCAGATCTGCAAATTTAACAAAAGGCAGTAAAACACCAGACCTAACATTAAAAAGTCAAGGCAGAATTTCTGCTCCTTTATCTTCACACAAAACTTGTGAAGGATACCTGCCACCACGATGATTGGGTGTGTTTGCTGGACTGGGGTTCTGTGAGTTTGCAGGGCTCTTGCCCTCTTGATTAATATGACTGCTACCTGTCACCCAGAGGATTCACACAATTCGTTAGGGTGTCTGTTTAATCACATAGCACCAAAATTCTTGAGTATCCAGAACCACGAGAAGAGTTTACCTGCTCTGTACTGTAAGTTGAGCTGCCTTCCAAAAAGTCGGATGCCATTGAGCAGGCTCATGCTGTACGGGACGGAGACTTCATGTTTGAAGTTCACAAAGGCAAACTGTTTTGACCTTCCATCATTGTCCTTTGGGATTTTGACTTTGATCAAAGGCCCAGCCTTCAACAAAAAATGAAAGAAAGAAAGAACTGTTTCAAAAACACAACAAAGACCAACACAAACACCCTAAGACAAACCTCTTACTTACAGCTACATGTAAGCCTGCATATGAGCAATGTATGCATCCCACTACAACTGAATAAGACTCATTATCTTAGGTTTCAAAAGCCGTCTTTGTTGTATTGAATAAATACACCGATCAGGCATAACATTATGACCACCTCCTTGTTTCTACGCTCATTGTCCATTTTATCAGCTCCACTTACTATATAGGTGCACTCTGTAGTTCTACATTTACAGACTGTAGTCCATCTGTTTCTCTGCAATACTTTGTTAGCTCCCTTTTACCCTGTTTAATATAATGCATCAATCAACAACTGTGGGAGGAACATCTAAAGGCATAGGTAGATATGTATATGCCTGTGTTTTTGTAAACTTAAATATATTTGTAAACCAACACAACAAAGCAAGAACATAACTGGGGGGGGACTGGGCTTCACACCGGTACCATGGAGTGGAAAAGTGGCTTAACTTGCCACAGAAGGCATGCAAAAGTCCAGTACAATACCAAGGCTGCGTTTATCATTCAAGAACATGTCCTGGATACGTCCTACTCAATTCAGTGATCCCTCAAAAGAGTTTACTAACGGCTCAATTTAATAACTGGCTCATAACAGTGATTTATCAGTGTACTCAGGCTTTAGGAGAAACTTCAGTGTTTGTAAAGAAGCATTTTTGAGTTTAAATAAAATAGTTCCTTAAAATAATTACTTAACAAGCGCTGATGGTGGGTATGTATTCTAAAAACATGCATCTTAAAATGTGAAAAATAGCAACTATTTTCTGAATATTGAATACAACATGTGACTTGGACTGACTACAGTTACTTAATTTCTGTATTCTGAATACTTTTTTTTCCAACATTTCTATTCCATTACATTCTAACCCTGCATGAGTTCATAACCTCTTCTTTTTAGTACTTTTCTGTAAGAGCTTTTAAAGCTTTTAAGGGCATAACATGACTGCTCCGGATGTCTGGTTCCCATCACCACCGCTGTAAACAGTTCTGTCTCGGTAAGGTTCTTCAGAACAGCACATTTCACTCAAAACCACTCTGAATGACTCTGTGTACATCTTGACCACTTTTCTTTTTTACAAAGGCATTTTGAAAAGTCGGTGGAATTCTCCTTTAAACCCATTAAGTTTCTCCTCCTTATGGGCTCAAACTCCCGAGTGGTCGTGCGTCTCGAAACGCGGGGAAATTTCAATATTTTAGCGTTACTGAAACACGCAAAACCGCATGGGAATCCCTAAATAATTTGACTTCACTACAACTGTGTATATTTATGGCTTAATGGAACCAAAGAGGACAGCTGACTAGACTAAACCACTGGTTGTGTATGAGGCTGAAGCTTCTTCCTGCGCCAGCTTCTTGTCCGAATTTTCCCATTCCACCTTAAAATAGTGCAGCAGTTTTACATTCTGGCGCCTCGCGAGAACGTAACTGCAGCACCATTTAAGGTGGACCGGGAAAATTTGAACAAGAAGCTGGCGATGAATTCAGTAGCTGACCAGCTTCTTTGGTTGCACAAGCCTTCAGGATAGCTTAAAGCGTTAGCTTGGCTTAGCTAACAGGCTAAATACGTGAACACAGCCGATAAGAATTAGTGGACGGCGGTCCTAACGAGCTAAAACCCAAACTTCCCACAGACAAAACAGGTTTGTCTTGTACAGATTTAATTTAGTCGTGTTTATTTACATGCAACGGTAACGCTGTACCGACCTACGGATGCTAGCTAGCTAGCTAACTAGCTTCAGTCTAGTCTGGCCTGTCAATTAGCTACGAGGCTAATCAGCATTGTCCGGTAACTTGCCTGTAAAAACAGCTCGAACAAAAGCTCTTCTGTTACTTGAGGGTCCAAGTTGCCGACAAACAGAGTCCGGTCCGCTTCGTCGGCTATTCCCATTTTGGTGAGGTTCACAGGCCGAAAAATACCAGCTAACGTTTGCTATCCACGTCCCAGTGTTAGCAATGTTTGTGGGCGCGTCCCAATATGCGTACTTGTGTCCTAGAAGAACGCCTAGCTAGTGCGTAGTGTGCGTACTTGTGTAGTAGCCAGAAAGCACAGTTGGTGCGTAGAATCCCGACTGAGCATTTCATTTTTATGAAATAAGAGTATATAAATAAAAATAACATTAAAATAATACTTACAAAAAATATATTAAACCATAACCAGTACTTCAAAGTGGTTAAACATCAAACGTATGCATAATTATGACCAATATAAACGACTAAAAACATATTATTTACAATTAAGCCTTTATAATAACAATAGTTGTGAAACATTAATAACAAAAATGAATTGATAAATCACACGCAACATCAAAAATAAACAAAAGCAATGCTATTTCAAAAGAATCCATGATCTAGTCAAGGATGATGGGTGTTTTAGAGTATTAACATCTGTTAAAAATAATAGCCCCCATGTTTAGTCAGAATATCATTAGTTACAACACAATTCTACAGATACAATCCATGTTATAGTGCGCTCAAGTCTAATTCTAATTAAAAACCGGTCACACTAGGTAGATCCCGAGTGCGCATATTGGGACGCGGCCTATATCTGAAGACTGCTGCCGTAAAAGAAGTCAAACCGTACGTCGACGGTCACAGTTGTGCTGAACTGGCTTTGTGTCATTTTTTTCCCCTGCAATTCTCAATTTGGCCTCACAGCGGCGCCGTTTCTCGCTGTTTTATGATAGCGCGCCTAATCTGTCCTTTCACAGGCAGATTGGAACCAAGGAGTGAATATTTTCTGCAGTCATTTCTTTCATTTATTCATCTACCACAGTTTATTTATCTAGCTTGTCATATCTGTATAAGGCATATCTGAGTCTCTAAGGCTCAAACGCCCATCATGCTGTTGGGGAGTCTGTAGGTGGTCCTGGTTTCCACCTTAAAAACCTGGCCTGCTGATACGCTGATAACACCCCGGTGAGATCAAATCGCTGATTACAGCATCTTCACTCCAGCGCCTCAGGCGAAGAGCCCTAGAGACGAATCGTGGACATGACTGGTTTACTAATCAGATCGCCTTTTGGACCTTGGCTCCCATGTTAATAAGGTTAATTAAAAAATCTAATGATTTTTCAGACACGCTTCAGGGACTATCCCATGCTAAGGGCTCCAGTGTCAGAGAGCAATGTGTTATTTAAGGTGGTGGTCCTGCTTTGGGTGCTGAGTAGTGAGAGAAAAAAGCTGTTTCACATTAAAGTGAAATAGATGGAGATGAATGTTGCTTAATAGTCCTAACACTATTGAGGAATTTGCCCACCTCTCTTGTTATTATGCTGCATGATTAATGCACATTTTTTCCTACCGAACGGTATTTCGGTGACTCATTGAGAGCTAATGAAACTGGGACCTGCAGTCCCGACCAGGTGCCATTATTTCATGACTGTGTCGGGAGCCAGTCATGTGTGCACAGTCATAAACACCAGTGATGTATTGAGGTCACTTTGATCATTCTGGATCCAAACGGCAATGAGGTATTTCCAATTGGCGGCTGCGAATCGGGGCTCGCTCCGAAAGGCATAAAACAGCACCTGTGAAACCCTCAGCCTCAAAATGAGCACATGCATATTTGTCTTCCCATCGGTTCCGTTCTCATCAGTCCTTTCTTTGCCGCGTTCGGTTTGTGCCGTCGTTGGGCAGCTTTTAGGAAGTTGGAATTTCTCAGGACAAATGACCTCAGCGTGGAAAAGGAGAGCGGATGTGGAAAGTGAGGAAGGAACGAAGCAATCTTCAAAAATGACTTTTGCATATTTATGGGTAGCACCGTTTTACCGTGATTGAATGTCAGGCCCTCTCGCAGTCGCGCATAAATATCCGTATCTTTGTGACAGCGATTGCATGGCCGGCACTCACCTCTCAGACATTTACACCTTACGTTAAAAGGTGACCTTCTGTGTGATTTGTTCAGATTTTTACCTCAAAAATTGCGCTTGGAACACAGTCACTGTGGATCTCCAGCTTTTTCAGGACACTGGCTGTTGGTGTGACAAATCCACTGATCTACTCGTAATCTACCAAAGTAAAATCTGATTATACCAGCCTGTCAACAAAGATATTGCACCTAAAATTAATACAGTTTCATTCCAAGGCTCAGTGATGCAAGTCTGAGTCACGTTTTGGGTCTCTGGTGCAAGTCCGATTTGAGTCTTGCAAACAATCGAGTGCAATCAAATGTAGTCTTCAGTGCTTGTCCAAGCCGAGGCTCAAGTCTAGAGTGTGGTGTGAGTCAGAGTCTTTGGAGTTAGTTGGAGTCGAGTTTCGGGTCTCTGGTGTGAGTCTAAGTCTTGAGTCTTTGGAATTATTTGGAGTCTAGTCTCAAGCCTCTGGTGTGAGTCCGAGTCTTGAGTCTGTGGAGGTTGAGTCTGCAGTGCTTGTCCGAGTCTTCAGAGTTAGTTGGAGTTTTGACTCCCTGGTGCTTGTGCGAGTTGAGTCTTGAGTCTCTGGTTGCGGGTCCAACCCATGAGTCTCTGGAGCTAGTTGGAATTGAGTCTCAAGTCTGTGGTGTCCAAATCAAGTCTTGATTTTGTGATATGAGTCTGTGGTGCAGGTCCAAGTTGAGTCTGGAGTCTCTGGTGCTAGTCCAAGTCGAGTTTCGAGTCTCCAGTGTTAGTGTGAGTTGAGTCTTGAGACTGTGGAGCGAGTTCAAGTTGAGTCTCTGGAGCTAACTTAAGTTGAGTCTTGAGTCTCTGGTGCGAGTCCAAGTCCTAAGTCTCTGATGCAAGTCCGAATCAAGTCTTGATTCTGTGGTAGTAGTCTGAGTCAAGTCTCGGGTCTCTGGTGCTAGTCTGAGTCGAGTCTTGAGTCTCTGGTGCTAGTCTGAGTTGAGTCTTGAGTCTCTGGTGCCAGTCTGAGTTGAGTCTCGAGTCTCTAGTGCTAGCTAAGACTTGAGTCTTTATTGCTAGTCCAAGTCGAGTCTCAAATCTCTGAGATACGAGGCCAAGTTTCAAGTCTCTGGGGTGCCAGTCCGAGGATCCAGTCTCTGAGTGGAGTCTCAAGTCTCAGGTGCGAGTCCCAGTCAAGTCTCTGGGAATCTCAAGTCTATAGTGTAAGACCAACTTGCAACTTTGCCTCACCACATCTTATTCATTTCAGTGGCTAGTTCTGTTGGTGAATGATGGTATGCAGTGCAGCAAAATCTGCCTCGCCGCAAAAGCAGATATCAGCACATGTACATGAGTGTGGCATTGTATTTAGATGACTAGACAAGCTGACAACTAATAGCTAAAATAGCTGTTGTGTTAGTTAGCTGGCATCCCAGTCTCCGGTATCATTGATTGTTTTTTTTATTTAAAAGGCTGTATTAACAGTTATCACCATACATTAAATCTCTGTTTCCTTCTGAATGAATGAATAAGAAACACATAAAAATTAGGCTGGTTCTAAATTTCCACATGTACATTCTTTTATTTATTTTATGTTAAATTTTCTTTATGATGCGAACTCGTTCTCTAGTCACTCTTCTTTTTTTCCTTTTTGTCTTAGGGCCCTAATGTAAATTAGGCCTTGGTCTTGGTGGGCGAGCCCCTGCCCCCTTATAAATGATGATGACAAAGATAATATAAGGCCTATAACATACTTAATGGCTCATTTATCCAGTTGTTTGCCTTAATAATTCCCACCTGTCCACCCCTCAGACCTTGGTCTTTTAGTGACCTTTTAGAGTAATTGACATGAACAGGATCTGTAAGGTTGAACTGAACCGTCCTTTTTTGTTGACACTCGTTGAACTGGACTCTGTTCACAGGACATTGATGGAAAGTTAAGTGACCCCAGCTAAACAAACCTTGTTTTGGAGGTAAATCTACTTCTCTTGCGTCAACCATACTGCTTCCACTCATGTAGAAACCTTGGTTACCGATGACAGTTGGGTAAATATTCAGACAGAAGATGGCAGTGTTGGTCCTCAGAATTTCTCAGCATAGTCCAAGATCAGCAGGAATTCATAGCGTCTCGGAGCTGAAGAAAGTCCACAGCATGCATTCTACCAAAAAGAGACCAAAAAAAGGGGAGAAAGAGAACGAAAGAAGGACAAAAAAGATGTTCTCTTTGCTCTGCTCTCCTCTGCCTCTGCCCGTTCTGCAGTTATAGGCCGCCTCCCTGATGAAATATTAAAGGCCGATTTCATGGGCTGGAGCAGGCAGGCCGGTCATGCAGACACAAACGGTACTTGTCGGGGGGGGAGTGCGTCGCGTTTGCTCTTCGCTAGTCACGACTTGGATGGAAACTGCCATAAAAGGAGAAGCTAATTACACTCAGAATGACCTCATCACACATGTCTTTAACTGGCTGAAATTAAAGCACTGGACTCATACAAGTGCCTGATAGCATAATAAGACTTTATTGACTTCATTAACCTCACTGTATTTAATTTATGTGTCATGACCTGCCTACATAATGGCATCCACTTTACTTTATTGATTTGCTATGTAACTTCGATTCACATTTTTTATGCTCACCCAGATCTTAACACAAGGTCAAATGTTGACTTTACCTCGCCTGGAATGAATTGATGGCACTGTAGGCATTTCCAGGGACCACAAATGGAGGCTTCAATTAACAGACGTCCCTCGTACTGAAGGTGTTTCTGCCTGGCTGAACTAACTTTAAATGGCTCAGAGAAAAGCACCAAGAGATCCGATCCAGGTGGAGCATTATCATTAAGAAAACACTCAAGCATATTGAATTTTAGATTGAAATGTGTGCCCACCCAGTGGGACCGAAAAAAGTCAAGCATTGCGCTTAACATGATTAGCAGATTATAAGCTTCGGCGCCTGCATACGGTTCCTTGTTTTAGAGGCATACCTAAGACATTGTAATATGAAAATGTCAATGTAATTTGCTTGTTTACTTGCTGTTGTTGCGTCTCAAACAAGCTGATGGTCTCAAGGCATTCCACTCCACCTACTAGCATTTTATGTTAACCTGAATGTTTACGTTAAACTGCTTGTTTGGATCGCAATAGTTATACATCACATTT